TTGGGCCCCCTTCGCCAACCCCTCATCACCAATGAGACTAAAACATCCTTTGTGAGATCCGGGGCCCTGGTGAGTTTGAATCAAAAACTGAGCCCAGACAACTAGCCCAAAACAGACGAAGAAGAACAACTCAACACCTCCCAGAACCAGATTCATTGTAACAGACCTTGCAAACGCTCTCCAGCAGACTGGAAACCACAGAGCAGCCTCTCAAAAGAAAGATCCCATAGAAGATACTTCCAGGGAGGAGTCTGCACACCAGTGGGCCCCAAACATGGCCCCAAAACCCTCCACCTTAGCCATGTCAGTAAAGAGATGGAGTTTGGCATTGGACACCTCAGGATCTTGCCAATAGGGACGCCCATTAAAACCTTCCAAGAACACGAACCAAACTGCCAAGTCCTCTCGCAGGTGGCGAGTGATAACATAATGATGAGGGCTCTTCAGCTCGGAGGTTGCCACCACCAAGCGACGAGTAAACACCCTTCCCATGGGAATAACCCAGCATGTGAATTGCAGCTTGCCCAAGAACGACTGCAGCTGCCGCAATTGAATATTCTTGAGAAACCTAGCGGCCGAAAATAGGCCGCGCAAATCTAAAACCTTATCCTCCGGCAGCCGACACTCCCCAGCGACCGAATCGGTCTCAATCCCCAAAAAACTCAAACAAGTGGAAAGACCCACTTTCTTATCAGGGGCCAGAGGAAACGCGAGAAATATCCTATAACGGTTTAGCCACGGGAGTATTGCGCTGATGTCCACTGGTGTCCTCGCCCTTCGATAACACACTATCCCCCCACTCACCGGCCTTATCCCACTTGAAGCAGTAGGCAGCGGAGTGGGAACCCCCACACACGGAGCATTCGTGCTTAAACTTGCATCCGGCCCCCAGTTGCAGTGGCTTTCATTGAACTGTCAGCAGCAACCTGCATGCTTAGGTGAGGCTGAGGTGGAGGAGTTTCCCACCGCGCCACCCCCAGCAGCCACCAAGAAAGGATAACAGACCCCCTTGATGAGAGGCCGGGCGAGTCATAATCGCCAACCATAAGCCAATATCCATCTAATCCCAGCCAACCCAGCCCAGTCCGGAGCCACCTGGTAAGAGAGAACTGGTAAATCCATATCCCTCCCCCCACACCCGGAATGGGAGGCCCACCCCAGGGGGATGGGGAAGTTATGGGATGCCCAGTAGGCCCTGGTGAAACACCCAGGGAAGGATGGGGGCTAGCAGAGTCACTACGGGAAGGGGACAGCTGCCCACCCTGCCCCTCCACCTTGGGAGGGGAAACCTCTGCCCCCCAGGAAATACCCTGTGGCCTACTTACCCACCTGAAGGCCTGTCCACCACTCTGCCCGCCTGGGCCGCGGGTCTCACGTGCCGGGTCCACATGAGAAGATCGTCGGCTCCGGAAGGAGATCTAGCCTGTGCAGGAGTGGCATCTGCCCACGTAGACGCAGACCAGCCGGTCCGGGAGGTGGGACTGTGGCTACTGCTGTGAGGGGCTGGATAGTGTGTGTGTGTCTACATGTGTATCTGTTTGCATGTGTGGGGGAGGGGGAACGTATGGGATAGGGACGGTAGATGTATTGGGGGGGAGGGTGGCGGGGGGGCTAGATGTACGGGGGTGGGGCCAAGGACAATTTTTGCACCGGGCCCCGTGGTTTCTAGTTACGCCTCTGGTTACATTTGTGTTGATAGGGCTGTTTGGGGCAGTCTAGTGTGTGTCTGGATATGAGTAGTGTGTATGGTGGGGGGACAGGGGCTGTAGTATGTTTGTGAATTGGGACTACAGTGTGTAGAGAGCATAATAGACTGTAGTGTGTGTATACGGACTCTAGTGTATTGTGGAGTACCAACTGTACTGCATGTGGTAGGCTCACAGGGTCGGCACTGAGTCGAATAGTGGCTGTAAGGGGGGAATATGAGCAGTACTGTGTGAGGGTACATTGGGCTGTACTATGGTGGGGATAGGGGTTATTCTGTGTGGGGTCAGGGCTATACTGTGGGCGGCAAGAGCTGTACTGTATAGGGGGAAAGAACCTTAGAGTGTCTGTGAGCTGG